ATTTAATTACCTACAAAATGCTTCTATTCTTTAGGCCAACCGTTTGATGTGAGGCTGAAAAACAAACAAAACAAATTAAAAGAATGGGTCTATTTTTTCGCTTTTGTGACCTAAAAATTAACAAATTAACTTTCAGTTTTCGTTTTAATTTTCAGTTAATGAAACCATACTTACTGCACTTACTACATGTAACAGTGCAATGCTCATGATGCAGGTACTTTATTCCTCCCTTACAAATATACACTGGTGAGAGGAGGTGTTAAATTTAAAACAACCCACCAACACAGCAAGTAAATGTTTAAATATTCATTTATTTAATAAATAAGTTATTTTAAATAAGTTTGTTTAATAAATAAGTAAACTAATGGCTAATAGAATTAAAATAATCTAAATAACTAACATATTAGAAAATTTATTACTGGAGCTTTGCTCTTTTAGTAGGCATCTTATGGGGTTATGCATATTATTCCACCCATGGCATGAAAAGTCCCTCGACCATCTAGAGTATTGACGTTGAAGTCGGCGTTATCAAAAACCAGTTGGCAGAAAGCATCGCCACGGTTGGGTTTCACCAGAGGTAGTTGTTGTTGCATGATGGTAGACACTTCAAGTAATTGTGCTTCGTGATAAGAGGAAGAAAATCCAAAAGATGACATTAAATCTACCAGAAGCTTTGAACCAAACTTTTTGTACATGAATACACTTAGTCCAGTCAGAAGGGGTGACACAAAGGACCTTGGTCTTACAGCAGCTATGACAGCGTGCGATAAGGCCACACATTTCTTTTTCAATTTCTCCAGATATCTTTTCTTGTTCTTTGTTTTAACGGATGTCAGGAGAGTGGGCAAAGATTGTGGAATAACTGTTGCAACATCATTCAAAAACTAGTCAGTGGGTGGGTCTGTGGTATTTTACACCTGACATCTAATATGTTCCAAAACTATGTCTGCTGCTGCTTTCACTACTCTTAGTCTCTCTCCTTCTCGATCTGTGGATTTCATTGTACTGTACCAGTTGTCGGTGAGTATTTTATATCCTGTATTTTTGAAACAGATTGTCGTTTTTTTGTGAGTATCAACAATTAGGATATCTTCACCGTACTACTTCAGTAGGCGGGATTTATTTGTTCTTGAATCGATTTGATGTTCTCCCTTGATGCAAGAAATTTTGCAAAATAACAGAAAGTTTGATTTGTTACTGTTAAAAAAATTGAATATTTTCGTATCCATACATGTCCACACAAATTACTATACATAATATATTAGGATATTTAAACGTCTACAACATTGACATTACGCATTTATCTTATTTTGATCTTATTTTGTTTAAATAAATGAATCTTTAAAAATTTACTTGCTGTGTTGGTGGGTTGTTTTAAATTTAACACCTCCTCTCACCAGTGTATATTTGTAAGGGAGGAATAAAGTACCTGCATCATGAGCATTGCACTGTTACATGTAGTAAGTGCAGTAAGTATGGTTTCATTAACTGAAAATTAAAACGAAAACTGAAAGTTAATTTGTTAATTTTTAGGTCACAAAAGCGAAAAAATAGACACATTCTTTTAATTTGTTTTGTTTGTTTTTCAGCCTCACATCAAACGGTTGGCCTAAAGAATAGAAGCATTTTGTAGGTAATTAAATGTTCTATACATGTGATTGGGATACTTGTTATACTAGAATATTTCATTACTGAATTACAGCGATCTAAAGAAAGAGATTAGGCAATATAACAAAAAAAATTACGTTTTATTTAAAATAATTGGAATATTTTCGTATCCATAAGTCTTAGAACCAAATTGTTCTACTTATATTAAAGAAAATTTAACTGTCTACAACATTGCATTTACATATTTTTCGCTAAAACGCACCAAAACGGAGATATAGGCGAAAATCTCAAGAAAGTACAGATTTTTTAGATTTTTCAATATGGCGGTGGGCGCGGAGGGGGTAGAATTGTGCATTTTGCGGTTTTAACACCTACTTACCATCCTAGACAACATATACAAAATTTAGACTTACCGGACCGTTTGTAAGTTAACCCCCCTATTTCTGTCTCTATTTACTGGACTACAATACTTGAACCTCATTGGTCCGTTACCTGTGTGGATATGAGAAAAACAATGCTGATATGAAATTAAACGGGTGAGGTTCATTTGTCCGAGTTTTCAACTGTCCGAGTTTGTTAAAAATTACAAAATATTTGAAAAATCATTTGTCCGAGTTTTCAACTGTCCGAGTTTTGATAAATAACTAATAATAATTAGATAAATCAACTGTCCGAGTTTTCATTTGTCCGAGTTTATTCAATTATTTTAAAAAATATCGAAATATCAAGTGACCGAGTTTTCAACTGTCCGAGTATGGTTTAAATAATAATGATATTTCGTTAAATCAACTGTCCGAGTTTTCATTTGTCCGAGTTTTAAAACGATTTAAAAAAATATCAAAATATCATTTGTCCGAGTTTTCAACTGTCCGAGTAGGGGCAACATCAAAATGTGTCACTGCGCGCAGAGACTAGCGTGTTTAAAGCTCCTGGTCAGAAGTCGATGTGAACCTCTTCTGCGAAGGAGTCGGGTATTGTGCGAGCCACGAGAGGCCCTCACGTCAACTTAAGAAAAATTATATTATTTTTATTATAAGACTAATTTAACAATTTTTTAGTATAAAACTAAACTGTCATCACCAAACACAACCATCCAAACTTGCTGATAATATAATAATGGCGGGGGTATTTTATATTATCAGCAAGTTTGGTTGGTTGTGTTAGGTGATGAGGATTTAAATTGCAAAATTAGTCTTATATAAAAATAAAATAATTTTTCTTAATTCGACGTGAGGGGCTCTCGCGGCTCGCACAATGCCTGACTCCTTCACAGAAGGGGTTCTCATCGACTTCTGAACAGGCGCTTTAGACACGCTAGTCTCGGCGCGCAGTGTCACATTTTGATGTTGCCCCTACTCGGACAGTTGAAAACTCGGACAAATGATATTTTGATATTTTTTTAAATAATTTAAAAACTCGGACAAATGAAAACTCGGACAGTTGATTTAACGAAATATTATTATTATTTAAACCATACTCGGACAGTTGAAAACTCGGACACTTGATATTTCGATATTTTTTAAAATAATTTAATAAACTCGGACAAATGAAAACTCGGACAGTTGATTTATCTAATTATTATTAGTTATTTATCAAAACTCGGACAGTTGAAAACTCGGACAAATGATTTTTCAAATATTTTGTAATTTTTAACAAACTTGGACAGTTGAAAACTCGGACAAATGATGTGATCCCAATTAAACTATGCTGATATGAAAGTAAACAGCTGTAAAGTGAAACTTTTCAATTCTAAGAACTGGACTGAAATGGCTACTTTAAAAAACGGTCGTAGGTAAAACATTATACTACATTCTAACGGGTGAGGTTCATTTGTCCGAGTTTTCAACTGTCCGAGTTTGTTAAAAATTACAAAATATTTGAAAAATCATTTGTCCGAGTTTTTTTAACTGTCCGAGTATGGTTTAAATAATAATAATATTTCGTTAAATCAACTGTCCGAGTTTTCATTTGTCCGAGTTTTTAAATTATTAAAAAAAATATCAAAATATCATTTGTCCGAGTTTTCAACTGTCCGAGTAGGAGCAACATCAAAATGTGACAATGCGCGCCGAGTCTAGCGTGTCTAAAGCGCCTGTTCAGAAGTCGATGTGAGCCCCTTCTGTGAAGGTGTCAGGCATTGTGCGAGCCGCGAGAGGCCCTCACGTCGACTTAAGAAAAATTATATTATTTTTATTATAAGACTAATTTTACAATTTTTAATATAAAACTAAACCGTCATCACCAGACACAACCAACCAAACTTGCTGATAATATAATAATGGCGGGGGTATTGTATATTATCAGCAAGTTTGGTTGGTTGTGTTAGGTGATGAGAGTTTAATTTTATAATTAATAATTGTAAAATTAGTCTTATATAAAAATAAAATAATTTTTCTTAATTCGACGTGAGGGGCTCTCGCGGCTCGCACAATGCCTGACTCCTTCACAGAAGGGGTTCACATCGACTTCTGAACAGGCGCTTTAGACACGCTAGTCTCGGCGCGCATTGTCACATTTTGATGTTGCCCCTACTCGGACAGTTAAAAACTCGGACAAATGATATTTTGATATTTTTTTTAATAATTTAAAAACTCGGACAGATGAAAACTCGGACAGTTGATTTATCTAATTATTATTAGTTATTTATCAAAACTCGGACAGCTGAAAACTCGGACAAATGATTTTTCAAATATTTTGTAATTTTTAACAAACTCGGACAGTTGAAAACTCGGACAAATGATGTGATCCCCATTCTAACGCAGGTTGTTATTTGTTGTTGTTTCCTGATATATTTGTACTTTTACAATTCTCGTATTTTTCTCGTATCTATGTCAGTGATAGATGTTTTAAATACTTCTCTAAAAAAACTCAGTATATTTATAAACTAATTCAACGTACTTCCCTCTCTGAGACTTCAGTTACTATACATATCGTTCTTATTAACGGATATTTAAAAGCACGTGAGTTTGATATGCAAAATGCATTAAATTACTAACATTAAAGCTGTAATGTGACTGAGCTATTCATATGTATCATGATTTATGTCTGTGCTAATCTTAACCAACTTAAATGATTCATTAATTGTTTTTCCTACATCCCACCGTCCGACCTTAGTGGAACGAAAAACATCGTTCTATATAGACTAAGGAAGTTTCCGTCTTGATGTCATTTTGGAATTGACCTGTGACTGTGTTCTCGGAGTATGGAATTTAAAATTATCAATCTTTTAATTATTATTTGTTATAATTTGTCAACATGGTAACTATAAGAAAATTATAATAATACATGTGCAATTGCTTAACTTAAATGTATACATAATTTTTTATTTTGGAATGCCCTAAAGGTGATAAAATGAATTAAACAAAATGTATTTTAAAACAAAACAAGACCAGTTTATTAAACACAGATAGTTTGGTGTTAAAAATACGTTCAATAGAGTAAACAATGACAATGCTAATGGTTTTTTGTAGCACAGCATTATTGTTACGAAGGTTATATGATTCTCTAAAGCCTTCACCTCGCCGTTCTTTTTTACTATTTACTATCTCCTATTTAAGTGACATCATGCAATTAAACTCACAGATTTAAATGAATAGCTATCAACTTGGTAGTAAGAGTTTTGGAGCTTTGTCCAAACATTTACAATATTCAACCGTCCTGCTGGTCATGTATATCATGATAACATGTCATCAAGGTGAAATTTTATTGATCTACCCATTTCACTATCATTATTCTTCGGGGTAAATTTAGGAAGGTTAACTTTGATAAAATCTTCAGTGATAAGTTTGTAGTTCACTCCAAATCTTATCAGGTCATCAAGAGCTTCTGACCGTCCATCACCATCTGGAAAAAGTTTTTTAACAACTAAAATTGCGAAATGAACATGATTACTTTCTGCTTGTAATACTTATTTTTAAAGATATTTAAAAAATCACACAATTGATGTTTAAAATATTTATTATTATAAGCTGGTTCTCTGAACGTTGAAAAAAAATTTAATGCCTGGTTTTAGTAAGATATTACCAATAAAAAACAAACGATTTAATATTCAAAAATCCCTTACAGTCCAGAATCTGAAGGGAGTTGAGTATGCATGGAAAGCCTGACGCAGATTTATTTCTGATTGTTGTTATAGGCACTATGGTGATCATGAAAACGCATGTTGTTGCCCCCCAGCGTGGTCGGCATCCCCAGGGGGAGGGGGCAAATATGGGCGGGGGGCGCCGTTAACTAAAACCCTTATAGCTCGAGAACCATTTTAGATAGAACATTAAAATAAACATGGCAATTTACTCATAAAATTATGACCTTCAAAGAAAGTTATTATGTTTAAATCCGTATCTAGATTGATTTTTTTTGTTATAACTGAAACTAATATCCTCAATAAATCGTGTATTTTAAAAGTCCCGGAGCGGCTTAATATTTTTTTTTTACCAACATAGATACGGTAGCACAGTTTTGTATCTAGATATTTATTATTAAAACCTACCGTTTTAAGCAATTGTAAATTTTCTTCTCCTCCAGGGGGACGGCCAACAAGGAGTAAGAAGAAAATCTTTAATATAAGCATAGGCTGATATTCCCATCACATTAATGGTATTTGCTAGTAAAATACAATGCCGCAAATTTGAACTCAAACGAACAACCAAGTAAAAAGTGGCAGCCGTTCAAACTCATCCTACACTCATCTCCATTCATACTTGGCTTAAAATACCTACTTTGTCTGGTCGCCATTTCATCGAAAAGTATTAAAGTAGAAAGTATTAAGACATTTTGAATCTGCCAATTTGAATCTTTGAACAGCTGCCATTTTTATGCAGTTGTTATTTTGAGCAAAAATGTGTGGCAATGTATTCTAATAATTGAGACCTAATAATTTTATGTCCATATCGACCTATGCATACGTTTTTGATTTTCTTCCGACTTCTAGCGGGGTAGCTTATAGCAAAGCAATTTCAATGCATCTATGAATAGCTTTCATTTTTGACTGGGTTGTCCTTTGAGTTCAAATTTGTCTTCAGGATTATTAATCATACTCAACGAGCTTTAGATTTTTCATTTGCAATAACAAAAACCGAGAGTGAAAATTTAAAGTAGTCACAAACTTATTAGGGTTTGACATTGGAATCCTCTAATATTACTAAGAAAATGGAAGAAAAAAGGTCTCTAATGTAAAAGTAGCCTGCCATGAGATGCCCGTCAACGGACTGGTTATTGAATTCTGGCTTTGCAGCAAACTTTTTATATCAATCAAACTCAATTGATCATTACTAACCCTAAGAATTCTTTAACACTACTCCAAAAATAGGTACCTACTAAATATAAGCCAGTGTTCTACTAGTAAAACGACGCGAAGGCTAAGATTTTAAAATCTACATGATCTTAGTCTTTATCATGTTTAGTATTTAGTGTACTATACCAATGGAGGTAGTTGGACGTCCACTGATGCCGATGTACAAGTTGGTTCCTTTGTGCCTCTCCTCCTCAGATCCCAGTTGAGGACTCAACAGCCAACCTCGTCCCTCGTATACGTTGCCGTCACCTCCTACCACAAAACTGATCACCTTTACCATCTAGATAGTTCAACGTATATAAGTTTCTGTCATCCCATACCACAAAATAAATCACCTTTATCATCTAGATAGTTGTACAACCAGTTGAGATCTCGACAGATACCGTTGTCCCTCGTATACGTTTCCGTCACCTCCTACCACAAAACATGTCATCTTTACCAACTAGATAGCTCAACGTACTACGTAGTTGAGATCTCAACAGCCACCCTTCATCGTATATGTAGCCGTCACCTCCTACCACAAAACATGTCATCTTTACCAACTAGATAGCTCAACGTACTACGTAGTTGAGGTCTCAACAGCCATTACCATCGTATACGTTGCCGTCACCTACTACCACAAAACATATCATAATTACCAACTAGATAGCTCAACGTACTACGTAGGTGAGGTCTCAACAGCCACCCTCCATCGTATATGTTGCCGTCACCTCCTACCACAAAACATGTCATCTTTACCAACTAGATAGCTCAACGTACTACGTAGTTGAGGTCTCAACAGCCACCCTTCATCGTATATGTAGCCGTCACCTCCTACCACAAAACATGTCATCTTTACCAACTAGATAGCTCAACGTACTACGTAGTTGAGGTCTCAACAGCCATTACCATCGTATACGTTGCCGTCACCTACTACCACAAAACATATCATAATTACCAACTAGATAGCTCAACGTACTACGTAGGTGAGGTCTCAACAGCCACCCTCCATCGTATATGTTGCCGTCACCTCCTACCACAAAACATATCATCTTTACCAACTAGATAGCTCAACGTACTACGTAGTTGAGGTCTCAACAGCCATTACCATCGTATACGTTGCCGTCACCTCCTACCACAAAACATATCATAATTACCAACTAGATAGCTCAACGTACTACGTAGTTGAGGTCTCAACAGCCACCCTCCATCGTATATGTTGCCGCCACCTCCTACCACAAAACATATCATCTTTACCAACTAGATAGCTCAACGTACTACGTAGTTGAGATCTCAACAGCCACCCTCCATCGTATATGTTGCCGCCACCTCCTACCACAAAACATATCATCTTTACCAACTAGATAGCTCAACGTACTACGTAGTTGAGATCTCAACAGCCACCCTCCATCGTATATGTTGCCGCCACCTCCTACCACAAAACATATCATCTTTACCAACTAGATAGCTCACCGTACTACGTAGTTGAGGTCTCAACAGCCACCCTCCATCGTATATGTAGCCGCCACCTCCTACCACAAAACATATTATCTTTACCAACTCAACATATTATCTTTACCAACTCAACATATTATCATATTATCTTAGATAGCTCAACGTACTACGTAGTTGAGGTCTCAACAGCCACCCTCCATCGTATATGTAGCCGTCACCTCCTACCACAAAACATGTAATCTTTTCCAACTAGATAGCTCAACGTACTACGTAGTTGAGGTCTCAACAGCCACCCTCCATCGTATATGTTGCCGTCCCCTCCTACCCGAAAACTGATAACCTTTTTCTGCTAGATAGGATAAGGTACATCCTGAAATTCTAAAAATGTTGTTATGATCAAATATAGTTTTTTATCGGATAAATCTTTTTGGATTTTTTTTATACAGGATTGGCATAACAGATCTCACTTTTGCACTACCCAGAGAAATGAGCATACATAAAGTAAACATTACTAAATAAACACTAAGCCATCCAAAGCAAACCTGCGTACTATAAGTGATTTTCTTTTTATCTAGTTGGTTATTTGCTAACATAACCATCTAAAATATTCACATATATTTCATTTTTTATAACATAACCTGTAATGAGTACTTTAGGATTTTTTTTATATCATTGGCATTTCAAGTTAAAGATAGTTAAGTTTTAAACGCTTTTAAGGGAAAGCGGCCAAAACCCATTACAGTTTTGTGGGTGTGCCGGGGATTGAACCCGTCCGTATGTTGCTACAGGTTGTTATGGTTATAATTAGGTGTACCTACGTTTTAAGAAATTTTGATGGCTAAAATGCATAAAAAATAGCCAAATTACATAAAACTAACTATAAAAAAGCAAAATACAAAAATTATTTTATTCATTATCACAATTTTAAATTTTAAAATTAAACTAAAATATAAAATTTTTATATATACTTAAATTTTATAATTTAAATTATAACTAAAATTTAAACTTGATTTTTTGAATTTTCTCTGTAACTGTTAGGCACACAAAAACCTTTCAATATACAAAATTATTTGTTTTGAAGGTTAAAACTGGGAAACCCTAAATTGTTTACCACATAAACCTCTGTTTCCATTGGTCGATCACACCGGTTCGAAAATACGGAAGCATTGTTAACTTAGATGGATAATTATTTACCGTGATTTATATTTTCAAGATGACAGAAGATAAGGGAGATTATACATTAAAGTTTTTAGAGAAGATCATAACAAAATACATCAAATGATCACCTTTATTGATACAGTACCCCTAAACTAAATTTATGTTCATCGAACGCTCTTCAAGAGTTTCCCAAAAACTATTTGAATACTAGGTTCTTACTTATAGGGGACGTCTTCAAGTTTGTGAAGTCTGATGTGTTGTCGCTGTATCTGCTGCATATAGTCGCGACACTGGAAGATGGTCGTGCAGGCGTCAGTCTCAGTGTAGGACCACAGGACTGTATCTGCGGGGGGATGGCGGGGACTGCGACTCCAGGGATCCCACGACCCCCACTCTTCCCTCGGGATAATATTCACCCCCATCCTGCCATGCAAGCAGACTGCTTACTTTATTTATGACAATTCACCATAATAATAAATATTGTTACATCAAATGCACTAGGTTCACCGTTATGTCTTTTTGAGATGGCTTTGAACTTTATCTTTTGCATATATATTTTTTAGTCAAATTTCCAGTTAAATACGATCTTGAATTTACTTTCTGCTAAAAAAGTCATAAAACGATGCGGCAATCATCCAGAGTTCTGAACACATTATTTAAATGAAAACACTGATCTCACATAACGTTTACATATTTCTAATACCTTGGCACCGAATAATAGATACAATTATTAACATTTAAAATTCAATCATTGACATTTGATTTATATATCCGTGTGTAAATACTTCAATTAGAATTAGACATGTAGCAATGTGTAACCTATGATTAATGTTCCAACAATAAGGCAACACTTGTAGAATGATAATAAAGTACAGGTAATATTCATTTTGACAGATTTTATGATTGCTTAGTTAGCGTTCTTGTCAACCGGTGCCTGCAGCGCATATTAAGAGTGTTCTGGTCAAACACTATCTCAAATGAGCAGCTATGGGAATGCACAGGGCAACAAAAGATAGACATAGAAATTTCGAAGTAGGAAGTGGAGGTGGCTAGGACACACCCTTCGAAAGCCCGATGCTGCCATTGAGAAGAAGGCGTTAGAGTGAAACCCGCAAGGGACACCAAAAAGGTGAAGAACTTGCGGCACCTGGAAAAGAACAGAGGAGAAGGAGGCTGTGAGCTTAGGAAGTACATGAGGTCAGCTGAGGGACCTGGCACAAGATGGGGTTGGATGTCGAGCTCTTCTGGACGCCCTATGCTCCTAGTAAGGAGCTACAGGAGATAAGTCAAGTTAGTTAGTGTTTTAAAGGTTTCGAAAGTAAATAAATATGAGGACTAACAACCTAAAAACATAATGTTGTGTCTAAATCATAACCCATACATACCAAATCCGTTATGAAAATATACTCTGTTCAACACTAATATTTATGGAATTAACAGTTATTAAAGAATACGATTTTATAAATTAATCCTGTGGCAGAAGCCTGTACAACCAATGGCATAGAAATATTTTTACGTTCGCAAATACCGAGTATGGTTACACAAATAGATCACAGAGGTGAGAGAGGATTGCCGTTTCTTCTGCAACAGTCAGTATATCACTGTTGCAAAACCTCCCTCATCCAGAACTTTGACCATTAACACCGGAGCTCCACCTGAGCTCGCAGCTGAAATTTTATAAACATTGCTAGATCACGCCATTATTTTATATATACCGTCGTTAATGTATCGTATAGATGCCAAAAATGGCTAGTTCAAACTTTGTGAGTTTGTTTTTAATTTCAGTATCTTACATTGCATTAGTTATAATGTATTGAGATGTATTTGGCTTCTGTATCTTGAAGCAAAATAACTGTATAATATTTGTTACATGTAATAGTCGAATTAAACTTTAAACATACAAGGTTACACACGATGAAATATTACTATTTATTTTGGTAAAGGAACTTTTGCAGCCAATGATAAAATCTGAAATTATTGTGAGGGTAAGTGTATTTTTTTAAATATCAATTGTTTTAATGTCTGTAATCATTAAACTCGGTTTTTTAAGATTGGTTTTTAAAGTTAACTTACCTCCACTCTAAAAGATGTAATTCAACAAACTGTGAACTTTAAGGCTTTATGAACTAAGTGCATTTACTATCGTATAAAGTGCATCTTATTAAGTTAATTCAAATCCATCATTTCCCGTTCATTCGACATAATATATACCTAGTTACTTAGAATAATCCCTGGACTAGAAACTGTAAGCGCACCAAACTATGTAGACATGATCGACAAAAACTGAATCACGACAATAATTTACAATTTGTTGTATCTAAATGGCGCCATATATGAGATATGGATAAGTAACGAGATTGAATTAGGAGGAATATCATCATTGTTAAAGCATTCCCAAGTTTCATTTGTATTTCTTTGGACAAAACCTTTGTAAACAGACATTTATAAGATAAGGAAGGCAGGTTTGTGGGAATCTTCGACGCATAAATACTGATATAATTATGAGATGTAACTATAATTGTTGTGACAGTCATTATAGTAATTATATCAAATACCCCGCCCCAGCAAACCTGCAGACTAAGCGAATTTCCATTTGCCTGATTGGATTTACACTAAAAGTTCTACTTAGAAATCTCATATTTATTCCCTGTTTAAATATAATTAGCTTAACGAGTACTTAGGTATGCTGCTACAGAGAGGGTAATAAGGTGTGTTTTTAGTAAAATATGAATAGCTCAGTATAAAATATATATATTTGCCAAGTTCGGTCAAATTATATCCATAAACAAGGAATTACAACAGTTTAATTTTTCTTCTAAGAATAACATGGGAATTTTAAATTTTACAATTTACTCAATTTTCTCCGCAACCAATAACCACACAAAACACTCCAATATACTAAATTATGTGTTTTTTAAGCTCTTAACTGACAAGCCAAACTTCCTCAATATCGGAAAAAATTATTCAAGCTATCACGTTCATGGAAATACATATATAAAATGTTTTTACGAATTGTGTTTTTGGACTCTAAGGCCATAAAAATGAGAAAAGTATATCGGTCCCAGGCCTAGGTTTTACCGTGCGACCTACGGTAATAGCTACTTCCCTATAGGGAAATTCGCTAAAAAATTTAATATCCAAGCAACAACCGGTTGGGGAAGAAGTAGAGCAATTTAAATATTAAAACTCTTACAAAATAAGATAAAAACACAACAAGTGGTTAAGAAAGGGGAGCCATCAGTAGATAATTTAGTACTAAAAAGGTTCAGCAACATACTAAATGATAGTAGTACAAGGAAGGTCTCTTGACAAAAAGTAACCTAAGATATAATTCCTATTTTCTGAACTAATTCGAAACTAACTTACACGAATCTATGCTAAGTCATGCCAAAATAGAATGTGATTTTATGTTGGAGGTTTTAGTAAGCAATTGCGGCTCTGTGCAAATATTTTAATGTCCTCTGACTCAATAATACTTTAAAGGAATAAACTAGGATATTTGCTAACCAAAAGAACGAGTTTCTTTAAAAATGAGTAGGCTACTTACCAAATACTACTCTTTTAATACAGTACACTATCCAAGCGAAACTTCTTAGTAAGCTAACTACCTAATTTTAGGCAAAAGTTAAAACGTACTGTCTAGTTTATAAGTTTACAGTATTACTTACTTGATTATTTACTTTGTTAAAACTATTCTTTATTGTAACTAAGGTAAGATAAGATATGTAAGCAAAACCCATTTTAAACTAATGTCAGGCATTTCCGTTCTACATATCATTTTACTACGTTTAGTGAAAAGGGTTCAATGTGCTGGTGTTCACAAAACTACTTAAGGAAAACAAACACAATAATTTCTAATTAAAACAGATGATAAGTGGTAAGCTTGAATTCAAATATTCTTATAACTTGAACCAACTAAAGATTACACATTTTTTTAATTAAATATACCGTAAACAAAAATTATTGTTTTAATTGTTGATAAATCCATTTCATATTTTGTCAACATGACAATAAATATAAAAGATTTATATTACATGCTTACAAATAAAGTACATATAGAAAACAATTTTTTTTCTAATTCATATTTTTCTCTTCATATCACTGCATGTGGGCATGTTGTATGAAGATCCAGTAAAATATTTATTAGTATAGCTTTATATCATCGTTCTTTAATTCATTATCATTTATTGCAATATAAACATAAATATTAGTTGGTTTACTATTACATAGTACAATGACGAAATATCCCCCCTATTTTTGACCTGTACTTTTTTGTTTTTAGGATCTAGGTCTTACTTGGCGTGGGACTATTGTATACTAATGGTAAGTGATGCTGACCATGGTCGAGAAATTAAGTAAAATTATTCATAAGATCCTTTGCTGATGTAGCAAACTAAAATTATAAAAAAATATTTTAAATGTAAAATTAGTTCGCAATGCACCAACCTTCAACCTTTAACATGGTTTTACATAAGATTAAATAATCCTTTGATATGTCAATTTTAGAAAACTGTAAGAATTTTGTGTCTGGGTTTACAACAAATCGTTATATTCATTTACAAGCAAACAATCGTTTATAAGTACACTCGTTCAAACATCGTGATAAATATACAAAATGTGTAAAAAATATAATAAACTTAACTTCAAATAACTTATAATACAAAACTTAACTTTTTGGAAATTTCTTAATGCCTATTAAACATGCAATAAGAATTTTCATTTAAAAACCACCGAGCTCTTACAAATTAGAAAAGGTCATGCCTTGTATAATTCTTTTTAATAAGTTCTAACAAAATTCCATATTCTATCATGTCCTCAAATGCTTTGTACATATGCTCCCCAGGTCTTTCATCTGAAAAAAAGAAACAATTATTTATTTTAAAAGACTCAGTACCCCTAGAACTTACAACTAATAACAATAAATATTAGTATAAATATGAGTACTATTGTAATTTCGTACAAAAAAGGGAGTCTCTCGTCGATAACTTTAATCAGTTAACAATTAATTTTTAAACCATTACAGGGAAACTTAACTTAACTTTCTGTCAGATTGAACATTTTTAGCTTTCTGCCATCAAACTCACGAATAAAGGTAAAGGTAAAGCTACATAGGCCCTACTGCATAGCCCAATAAATTTCACTATTATTTCAATAGGTTAAAAGCGTAACAAGTTTACCATTGATATAAATAATTTGAGTATACAGTAATAAGAAGAAAATAAATATGATTTCAACACACAATCTTTTATTTCCTTTAGTTTACTCAACAAGTACTGTAATAGGATACTCTACTCAGTTTTTATAATTTAATTTATTAGAAAATTAAATTTATTGAAACCCATTACCTGGTACAGGGTTTTCTTTCCTGATTTCCTTGTTTTGATTCTAATTGGAGACTAAATGTATGTGGCTGTGGTTATTGTTGAAAAATGAATCCATATATCATTTCTAGAGATCTCCATAGACAAATATAGTTTTCTTTTTAGCTACCTGAGAAAGCGGGCTTTTTTGCACTGATTATAGCACGCAAAGTAGCTAATTGCTGCATTTACCTACTTTTACCACACTCATTTTTTTCGCACTCCAGTATTTCAACCAACCAACACAAAAGAGTGTGCTTTTATTAGGCACGTAAGACGTGTACGCTTGAAAATTAGTTGGCAACATAAAGACACTACGACTTCGATCAGCTGGTGCAGGGTTTCCCATTTCGTTAAACCTAATATAAAAATGTGCTGTATAGCGTGTAAAGAGTAATTATTTATATGATTTATAGTAACTGTAGGAAAAATATAATTTGTAACGCGAGGGTTAAGTGCTTTTGCTGCACTCGAGAACCTTTCCACACTCGCCTGCGGCTATTGCGTAAAAAGTCTTCTCTAGTTAGGCAAATAACACTTCAATGACTCAAAGTCAAATCAATTAAGATTTTTTGTTAAATAAATTAGGAGGTTTGCGGAAAACTAAGTATTATTAGGATTATACTGCATTATACCACAATACGTTATCAATGGCATTAGTTCAGTTAAAATTCTACTTACTAGAATTGGTTGGCCAAAAGAAAGCGAAAAAAAGACTTCTGAAGTTCATATGTTTGTATCTCGACGGAAGCCTCGTCTGAGCCAACCACCCTCTTCCTTCATACACCCCGCCAGAGCTTGCTATAACAAAACTACAACACATGAATACATGTAGATAATCATGTAAAAACTCTCTAAGCTATTCATTTCCATTTGATATTATCTTTTTTATCAACAATGATGTTCAAGTAGCTTTGTTTAACTTGAAGTTAACAATTTTTTTTTATTAAAATAAAAGATATGAAATTAATGTGCAAAAATAATCTTGGTAAATAAAGGTACGAGATTATTGCTCACTATATGCCCCCTATTTCATTACGTACATTTTTAAATTAAAGATGTATCTAATTTTAAGCCTCAAAACAATTTGCGGAATTCGATTTTAAATTAACTTAAAAGAACATGGTAACCTAATCTTATAATTTGTGATTCTGGAGTATGGCTGTGGAGTTTTCCACAGCAGCAAGAACTCTATCGAATTTTAGTTGTCTTGCGTCCGATCTGACTTTGGACGGCTTGTCAGCTTCTTTTTGAACGCAGAAGCCGTTGTTCTTAAGTTAGTAACCCACCGCATGATTGGGCTTCGTGACGGGACTTCTCCATGTCGATTTCGCCTTAATTAAAAGAATGCACAGATAGATGTTGGCGCCAGCTGAATGAATAAGACAAAACAAGTAAATACGAATAAATGATCCCTCACCTATAACGGATGTCGATCATGCCCTGATTCAGGTGGAAGTGTTGTAGGTTTCGCATCGCTATTGCCGCTGACCTGTCGTCATCAGTGGCGCCGCTGTTGACAGAGCTGACGAACACCTCACTCACCGGGTACTGCAACGGGTACCTCTCTACTGGAGGCTGAGCCAGCCAATCCTCCCGACTCTTAATGTCCAGAACCATTAGTGACTCTTCCTTCTGGTGAAACATAATTACTTTTGTAAATACCACTTCTTAACAATCATAAACACCTAATAAAACAAAAAAATATTCTTATACGACTTTAAATTTTCTCAGAACAGACATTTTTCAATTACACACAAACCAAGAAAAACAAGTATGGAAGCACCAATTTATCTTTGGGGTTACGGCAATTATTTCCACCGATGTCCGTAATTTCCATACAAAATTTAAGACAAATTAGCAAAATTTCTGACCAAGTTCTGAGTGGGGCGTAGTTTGAGAGT